GCTATGGGGTGCCCCAAGACCAAACCTCCCCCCTCCCCCCCATCCTTCCAGTTCTCCCCTTACGCTGTGACCCCACAGAGACCCCTCTGCCCTATGGGGTGCCCCAGAACCAACCCCCAAACCCCCCCACGCCGTGACCCACAGAGACCCCCCGCACTTTGGGTTACCCCAAGCCACCCCCCTCCCCAACCCCCCCCTCCTCCACCCCCCCCTCACCCATCATTGTTGAGATCTGCCAAAGCCACGGCGCTGCCGAAGTAGGAGCCGACCTGGCGGCCTCGCAGCAGCCCGCTCCTCTGCAGGTCTGCTGGGGGCTGGTGCTCAGCAGGTACACAGCCCAGTGTGCTGATAGCGGGGGGCTCCGGCCACCACCGTCACCGCCTCCTGCTGCAGCACCCCGCTGCCCACCTCTGCTGCGTAACCTGCAGCCAAAGCACCGCTGCCAATCCCCCCTGAACCCAACGCCGCTCCCCTCCAACCCCCCTCCTCCAGCCCTGGGGGTCTCCCAGCCCCTCTGCGCCCCACTCCCACCTCCTCCAGACCCCCCCCCTCCAGACCAGGGCTGCCCCCCACCTATGTAGGTGTTTGCCGTTCTTCTCGTTGGGGTAGGAGAAGTCGTGCAGGTCCCACGTCTCCCGCTGCAGCATGTAATGGTACCTGCAACGGTGGTCAGCCCTCCTTGCAACCGCTGTACCCAGCCTGCAAGCTGGTGCACGTGGCAGGATGCACGCACCAGAACACACAGCTGTTTGCATGCGTGTGCAGTCCTCACCACACGGAGGTGCAATCATGCACCAGAACATGCCACACACCTGCATCTTACCCAGCACCTCGCCCTACAAAAGTGCACGGATGCATCAGGCCATGCACGTCTGCACCCTTACATCTCCTCGTGCAACTCCCCACCGTGCAGAAGTGCACATCTATGCGCCAGAGCACTCCTGTCTGCATGCTTGTGCAACATCTTCACCTACAGGAGTGCACGCATACGAAACAACACGCACCCTTACATGCTTGCATGCTTCTTACCATCCATAAGTGCACACACATGGATGCATTTGCATGCCCATGCAAACTCTCACCATACAGAAGTGCTCTGGGACACGGACATTTGCACGCGTGTGCAATATCTTACAATACAAGAAGTGCACAAATGTGCACCACAGCTCGCCTGCTGGCACGCCTGCGCAGCGTCACCCCGCACAGAAGCGCATGCATCAGCCCATGCACGCGTTTGCACACACGTGCAATGCCTTCAGCACCCAGAAATGCACACCTGCACCCTCATGCAACGCCTCACCATCCAGGAGTGCACGCGGGCAGCAGAGCGCATGCATCTGCACAGCTGCACATCTGAGCACAAAGGACGCACGTGGGCATGCACACCTTGCTGCCTGCACCGCACAGAACCCGCGTGCACCACACCAAGCCTGCATGCTTGCACAAGACCCCGCCATGCAGCCTCGCAGTGCAGAACACACTCAGCATCCCCACAGCAGCACCACACAGGGCTCAAGGAGGAGCATCACAACCCCCCCTCCCCCCCATACACACACCCTGCCAATTATAGGCTCCAGGTGCCCCAAAATAGATGATGTTGGCAGTGAAGCCAGCGCTGGCACCCATCTGGCACATGCCCGTCTCTTCGGCGTCCATGTTGGAGTTGCACATCTCGTTGTGGTACGTCTGCCACTCGTCGCTCAGATCCAAGCTGAGGTCGTTGCCCCGCACGTAGCAGCGCCCAACCATGCGCCGTTGGTCCTCGCTGCCCGACCACAGCACTTTGGTGTAACGGTGAGCACACGCCTGCAGGGACAGCCCTGGGATGAAGGGACCCCCCCCCACCCCCATCCACCCCCCTCCACTCCCATCCACCCCCCATCCACCACCCTCCACCCCCCATCCACCCCACTCTCATCCAGGGTGACCCCACAAGGCAAATGGGGGTGGTGACCCTGCAGCCCTGGGATGAAGGGTCCCCCTCCACGCACCCTCCACCACCCTCCACCCACCCTCCACCACCCTCCACCACCCTCCACCACCCCTCCACCACCCTCCACCACCCTCCACCACCCTCCACCACCCCTCCACCACCCTCCACCACCCTCCACCCACCCTCCACCCACCCTCCACCCACCCTCCACCCACCCTCCACCCCCCTCCACCCACCCTCCACCCACCCTCCACCCACCCTCCACCCACCCTCCACCCACCCTCCACCACCCCCCTCCACCACCCCCCCACCCCACCCCCCATCCACCCCCCATCCACCACCACTCTCAGGGTGACCCCACAAGGCAGATGGGGGGGGGGTGACCCTGCTGCTGCCCCACAACAGGAGGGCATCAGCCCTGCAAACTACAACTCCCAGCATGCACTGCTGCTGCCAGCCCTCAGCGCCTCCCCCCTCCCCAGTGCATGCTGGGGGCTGTAGTTTGAGCCCATTTCTCCCCCCCATTCCCCTCGGTGCAACAGCAACCCCAGGGGGGCAGTGCACAACAGCTTCCCTCCCCCAACCCCAGCACCCAGGTGTAGAGACCCCAGTTCAGGGGGGGGTCACAGCTCTTTCTCCCCCCCTCCAGCACCAATAGGTCAGACCCTCACCCCCCATTTCTCACCATGGGGGGGCACTTATGCAAAGAAGTGCAGTGTAGGAGTGCAAGGAACTGTTGGTGCACACGTGCAAGGAGCTGTAGTGCAAGCGTGCAAGGAACCACAGTGCACGTGTGCAAAGAACTGACACATGCAAGGAGCCACGATGCACGCATGCCAAGTGCTGCACTGCACGTGTGCAAGGAGGAACCACGGTGCACGTGCCCAAGGACTCGTGGTGCACACGTGCAAAGAGCCACACTGCACATGTGCAAGGCACTGCAGGGCAGACGTGCAAGGACCCGTGGTGCACGTGCCCAAGGAACTGCAGTGCGTGCATGCAAGGAGCTATGGTGCATGTGTGTGTGTGTGTGTGTGTGTGTGTGTGTGTGTGTGTGTGCACTCACCAGCACCCTGCCAGCTGGCTGCCGCTGGCTGGCCACTGTCACCCCCAGCCACATGTCCTCAATGATGTACTTGTCGGGCTCACCTGGGAGAGCAAGATGTGAAAGTGGGGGGGGGGGGGGGACCCCTGCACCCTCCTCATCGCCCCCAATCCTCCAGGGCAGGGGAGGCCGATGTGAGGGCACATCCTGGGGGGTTTTAGGGGGGGGTCTCACGCACTTTTCAGCTCGATGTCGAGCCGCTCGCAGTCGCTTTCGGAGGGGGAGAGGGGACAGGCATAGACAGCCCCCGTCCTCGTGCCGTTCTGTGGCTCCTCATCCTGAGGGGCTCCCACCAGCAGCCTGGGGGGGGGGGAAGGGGGGCAGAAATGGGGGAAGGGGTGACGTTGGAGGAGGGGATTCATCACTCAGGAGGGCATCCAAAGAAGCACAGGATGCTCACACCCTTCCCCCCCCCCAAAAAAAATGCAAACAGGTGATGGGGTCACACAACCTGCCCACAGCCCCCCCCCCCCCAAGCTCTGAGCAGCAGCCCCAATGCCACAGCTATGTGTCACTCTGCAGGCCATGCCAGCCAGCCCCCCCCGTCCCACCCCACAGACTGGGGGGCACTTAGGGGTGAGTCAGCCCCCCCCCAGGCTCTCAAGCATCGCAGCTGAGTCACAGCAGTGCCACACGGTGTGGGGAGGGGGGGCACGTTGGCACGCAATGCACTTCCCCAGGTGCCACAGCAACAAAGGAGAACTAAAGCTCCCCCCCCCTGCCCCCAACCCCGCAGTGATGCACAGCCCTCACCACCCAAAGGTGGGGATGGGTGGGGTGCAGCACCCAGCCCTAATTTTGGGAGGGTGGGGGGGGGGACGGGGGGGGGTGCGGAAGGGCAGCCCTTCCGCTGGGAAGTGCAGAGGACAATGGGGTGAGGAGGAGGCAGAGCCACGCGGTGCCAGCGCAGGAAGCTTTGTCCCCAAGGGTGGGGGGACGGTGCGAGGTGACAGCAGCACCCAGGTGCAATGAGTCAGGCCGTCCTTGGCTGCCCCACTGCGCTGCTGCCCCACGGGTCCCATAGAGATGGCATAAGGGATGCATGGCTGCCATCCCCCCCCCCCCCACACACCCCAACCTGGCAATGCAGCGCGGGCGCACCCAGGCTGTGTGCTGACTCAAAGCCCAAACGCAGGAGGAATGTGGGGCCCCAGGCAGCCCCGGCATGCTGGGACAGGCAGCAGGCCAGCAGGATGCTGGGGCGGGGGGGGGGGGGTACAGGGTGCAGGGGGGGGTGAGGGGAAAGCAGAACTGCCTGGCTGCAGGACAGCCCCCAAAATGAGGAGGGGGGGGGGGGTGCTCAGCACTGTGGGGTGCTCACATCACCTGAGGGCACATGGGGATGCTTGGAATCAAGGTGGGGGGGGAACTCACCTAATTCCACCCCCCCACCCCTCCTGAGGATATCTGGTGGGGGGGGGGGGGGCAGGGGGCACAGGGCACCTCCACGGAAGTGACTCAGTGTGCTGGGTGGTGACTTGGGATGGGGGGGGGCAGGAAGCTGCTGCCATGGCTGTGCTTTTGTGGGGGGGGGGGGGGCAGTGACATCCCCCTCCCTCCTTGGGAAACTGATGATTGGGGGGAAGGAAGGGGGGCAAAGCGCCCACCCCACCTCATTGCCTTCAGCCCTGCAAGCCCATAGCAGCCCAAACTTGGGAAGGGAGCATCTGGGGGGGGGGGGCTGCCCAAAGGAGGAGTTGTGGAAGGGAAAGGGACAGTTGTGGCACTGCTCCATAGGGAGCTGGGGGGGGGGGGGCAGCGGAAGGGGGGGGGGGTCCCAGTGCAGGCGGGGGCTGCAATGGGGCTGAGCCAAGGCCTCGTGCTCAGCCTTTCCAGCTGAGGGAGCAGGGATGGCCAAGAAGGGGGAGGCTGGGAAAGGGAAGGAATGCAAGAGCTGTGCCCCAAACTAATCTGCCTGGCTCAATGGGGGGGGGGGGGGGGGGGGGAGGGTTGGCCTCAAACCCCCCTTAACCCCATAGCATAGCCACACTTGCAATGAGGTCTTACAACAGCTTCCCCCCCCCCCATTACAGCCCCCAGCAGCTGACTGTGCTGATGCAGGCATGCGGGGGGGGGGGAGGGAGGGGGGGGGAGGTCCCAGAGCATCATCCCTGGGCACAGCCCCCGCCAGGAGCTCTGCCAAGCACTGCTCCCCCCCCAGCAGCAGCAGCAGCAGCTCCTAAATGAGGGGAACCATATGGCTCTGAGCGGGGAGGGCACAGGGAGAGCAGAGCTGGAGTGAAACAGCCCTCAAAGGGGAAACTGAGGCACAGCAATTTGGGGGGGGGGGAGAGAGAGGGGGGGGCACCCACGTCACTCTCTGGCCAAAGCAGCTCCCTTAATCTCCTGGCCAACCCCGATAAGGCTGCAGGAACGCAGCGAGCAAACAGAGCAGTGCTGAGAACAGCCAGCCCACAGCCATGGGGACACCTGGCCATAGGGATGTGTCCCCATAGGAAGGATGATGAGGGGGGTGGGAGGGGGCTGGGGGGGGGAAGTTTTGGGCATCGTTCACCAGGTGGTGGGGAGGATGGTGCAATGAAATACCCCATTGCACGGGGAGGATGGGGTCAGGAAGTGTCCCCACGCTGTCCCCACCCTCTGCACCTGCACTTTGGAGCCAGCAGCGAGCAAAGGGCGCAGGGCAGGAGCCCACACCCTGGTGATGCTCAGAACTGGGGGCTGTGGAGCCAGATTTCCCCCCCCCCCCCCCCCCCCCCAATCCTCCTCTTCCTCCCTGCTATGGGGCTGCAGCATTGGGAGAGCATGGGGAGGGGGGGGGGGGGTTGGGGCCACAACTGCAGCCACAGGGCTGCAGGAAGCGGGGGGGCCTATTGCACTGCATGCCCCCACCAGGAGCAGGGGGTAAGGGAGGGGGGCCTATGGGGAGATAGAGAGGACCCCCCCCCCGGGATAAGGGTGGGGGAGGCGCTCAGGGTTTGAGGATTCTGCTCAAAACAAAGATTCCTCCCCAAACCTGTTTGCACTCGTCCCACTTCCTCCTCCTCCCCCCCCCCCCCCCCATAGCGCTGCCACCCCCACACAAACAGCACAGGGAAGCAGAGGCATGCAGCCCCCCCACCCCCCCCTCCCCAATCCAATCCCAATCGGATGAGCAGAGTGGGGTGGGGGGGGGGGTCCTATGGGAAATGGAGCACACAGCCCCCAGGGTTTCACATCCCAAAGGTGGCAGAGCACAGAGCCAACCCCCCCCCCAAAAAATGAAACCCATAGGGACAGAGTGACAGCTGCTGTCACCAGGCGAGCCGCTGCGTCCCCATGGGGACACCCAATGCCCCCCCCCAGTACAGAAGCGGGGGGGATTTGGGGGCGGTTTGGAGGGAGCAATGGGGAAGGACTTCTGATGGGGTTGTGGGATGGGATGTGGGGTCCAGGGGGGTGGGGGGTGAGGAGGGGGACACCCACTGCCCCGTGTCACCACTCAGCTGGGACGAAGCCGGGGGGGGGGGGGGGGCGCACTGACCCCCCCCCCAACCCTCCCCAGAGAGCAGCAGAGCAAAGCCGTGCAAACAACCCCCCCCCATCCCCCCTCCCATCGGGGGGGTGATTTCAGGACAACCCAGCCCTGAGTTCCGGGACCACCCCCAGCCCCCCCCCCGCTCTATGCACTTAAACCCCAAACCTCACCCCTCAATCCCCCCCATAAGGGTAACCCCCCCCCCCCCCCCCGTAAGAAATCATACCTCAGGACCCCCCTCCCCCAACCCTCCATCCCAGGACCCCCTCCCACATACAAGCCACGATCCCGACCCCCCCTCAACCACCCCCCCGCCCCACGCACAGGTACCGCTCCTCCCTCTCGTTCTGCCGATGCAGCGCGACGGAGAAACCGAAGAAGCCCCGCGTCGCGCTCCCCTCCTTCAGCACGGGGAAGGCGGTGTCCAGGTTGAAGGCGGCACAGGAGCGGAGCATCGCGCACAGCCACAGCAGCATCAACGCCGCAAAGCTCCTCGCCATGGCCGGAGCCCCGCCAACCCGCACCTCCCCGCACCCTGCGGGGCAGCGCCGGCCCGGTGCGGTGCGGTGAGCGCGGGGTACGAAAAGGGGCGTGGTCAGCAGGGGGGCGTGGCCAGGAGGGGCGCGCACCCTTCCGGGCGCTCCCCTTAAAGGGGCCGCGCACCCCCACCTTCACCCCGCCCGCACCTGCGGAGGGGGCGGTCCGCGCATGCGCGGGAGTGAGTGAAGGAGGGGGTGTGCAAGCGTGCAAGCGTGCACCTGGGTGTGTGCACACCGGGGTGGGTGCGAACACCTGGGCACACCTCAGCGTGCGCACCCGGCAGCGCTCTCACCCAGTTGTGCGCACGAGGCGAGCAAAAAGCCGAGTGTGAAATTGCACACCTGTGTGCGACGCACGGCTGGCAGTTGGGTGTGCAAGCAGCCACTCATACAAATATACGCCTGGATGTGCGCTTGGATTTGGATTGCACGCTCGTGCATGCACGCTCCTGTGCACGTGCACCCCCGTGCAAAAGTGCACCTGGGTGTGCATGCACTCCGTGTATTGCACGCTTGTAGGTGCACGGTCTTGTGCAAGCACGCTCGCAAGCTGAAACACAGCTTTGCGTGCACGCGCGTGTGCGAGCGCTCACAGGTACAATCACCGCCCTCGGCATGCACACAACTGCGCAAGCACGCGCTTGGGTGTGCGTGCTCCCGTGCGTGCACACACACTCACGCTCTTGCGATCCCCCCGCTGTGCGCGCGCTGCAGGCGCGTGCACGCTGCCGTTCCTCTCCCCCCCCGGAGCCGCAGCCGTGCACACGCAGCGATTTGCGCACACAGGAAGAGGCGCAGACTCGGCCGCGCGCTGCCCGCTCCCCCCCCCCCCCGGTTCGCCCCCCAACGGGACCCCCGTGCCGACGCTCCCCAATGTGCGACGTCCAAACCGGGACCTCCACGGAACAGCCCCCAACCCCCCCTGGATAATCCCTGCAGGCAGGGATCGGACCACCCGCGTGCCCCCCTCCCCCCCCCCGCCCAGAAGCGGGACCCCCCCCATAGACACAAACTTATGGGGAAACTTATAGGGCAGGGTGCGGGGGGGCCCCGCTGCTGTGTGTGGGGGAAAGTGAGGCAGAAGGAAGCGGGGCTCGGACGCTGCGGGGGGGGGGGGGGTCGGAGCTGCTGGGACCGGGAGGGGTGCAGAAAATCCCCGGCCTCCCACGGCGGAACGCCGGGAATGTGCCGGCTGTGTGCCCGGTGCCGGCTCCCATCCCGTGGGCTCTCTGCCCGACAGCGGCCCCTCGAGAGACCCCACCCGTAAGGGGGGCAACACAGAACAAACCCCCTCCCCCCCCCGGCCCCGTTGCTTCCATTGGGTCCTGCGGTGTTTGGTGTCACCCCTGTTCTGCAGCCCCCTCGACCCCCCCCCATCCCTCCAGAGGCTGCGTGGGGCCCCGAGGTTTGTTTGTGCTGCGGGAGCCAAATTCCAGCCCTGGGAGACGCTCGGAGCCTCCCAGAGCCTCGCGTGGGGGCTGCGTGATCGGGGGGGGGGGGAAGTGGGGATGGGACGGACAGACGGAATGGAGCAAAGGGACGGGTGGACCCCTGCCATGGGAAGGGCAGAGGTCAGCCCTGAACCCTGCTAGCAGAGCAGGGGATGGGGACAGAGTGGGGATGGGGTCACACAGACGGTGGGGACGCTCTGGGGATGGGGACAGCGGTGTCACCGCGTCCCTCCCACCCGGTGCCACCCGTGGCTGTGTGTCACCTGGTCCCCAACCACACACAGAGGTCACCGGCAGCCCTCAATCCCACCCGTACCAGGAAACCCATCCCTCCAACGGGAAAAGGCCGCAGGATGTCCTGCTCCCCCCGCCCAATTCCCACCCGCTCCACCCCCCCGCCCCCCCCCCCCCCGGCACCGCTGTCACCCGTTCTTCAGCACCGCACGATGTCACCGGAACGCGTGACGGCAGCAGGGGACAAATCCCACGCACAGCACTGCCAGCACAGCCCCCGGCCTTGCCCCCCCCCCCCCCAGGGATCCTTGCCCATGTGCAGTGCCTTTGTCCCCCCCTCCCCCCATCCGCCCCCATTGCTCAAGGTGCTCACAGCCCCCAAATGTCCTCAGAGTGCCCCGAATGTCCCCAAGCACTGCGGGTTGAACCCCGTCGAACGATTTGTGTGGGGAGTGGAGGGAACCCTCAGCCCCCCCCCCCCCCGCCGCAACGCAAATCCTTTCTGGGGTGGGGTGACCCCCAGCTTCCCTTTGGACCCCCATAGAGGAGGGCTGGCACCCCAGGAAAGGCATTTCCCCTCCCCCCCACCCCAAGGACAGGGGTTTGCACCCAAAGGAGGACCGCTGACAGCCGAGTTGGGGGGGGGGGGGAGGATGGTTGGTTACCCCCCAGGGGTGGTTTTATCACCCTATTATCGCCCCCACCCCCGAGGGGGTTAATTCGGGTGGGGGGGGGAGGAAGTGTTTGGGGCTGTAATTCCCCTATCGGCCGCTAGATGGCGCCATCTGATAAAGGATGCTGCAGGCTGGGGGGGGGGGGGCATTGGGGACGACCCGCCCCCATCACTCCGCTCTCCCCCCCTCGCCCCCTCGCTGATGTGACAGCAGCGGGGACACGAGGGGACTCGTGAGGACACGGGCGGACTGTCGTGGGCACTGCTGAGATTCTGTGTGTGGGGGGGGCGCTGTTTCCAATTGGGGCAGGGGCTGGGGGGGGGGTGAGATTACAGGGGACATATTGGCTTTGGATTCCGGGGCAGCTCTGCCAGGACCCCCCCCCCCCCCATACACACACACACATTTAGAGACCCCCAGCTGCCCCACATCAGCTCAGAGAACCCAAAATGGACCCCGCCACCCCCCCGCCCCTCCTCAGGAAGCTCCTCACTGCTGGGCTTCAGCCCGGTCCGCAGCTCCCAGTCCGTCCCAGTCCCAAACTGGTTCAGCGCCGCACGTAACGCGCAGCTCCCTGACCGGCTTTTCCTGCTGCAGGATCCGTCCCGCAGCGGCACCCAGCCTCGCCGGCAGCCCGGCCGGACCGACGGACAGGACCGGACCTGGGGGTGTCCCAGCGGCTCCTCAGGTCCTTGGGAATCCCCCGGGGAGGGCAGACGGCGGGGCTGGGCCGCACCCAAGCACCTCTGTCCTCACTGAATTAATTTGCCCAGTTCAAATTGCAGTTCCCATGTGGGGAGTTGAGCCCGGGCTTCGTGCAGAGTCTGGGTCACACAGAGGGGCTGGCTGCGCCCTCTGAAGCAGAGCTCATGGGGTTCACATCCCATCCCATCCCATTTCAGCCCATCCCATCCTATATCCTAAGCTATCTACCCCTATCCTATCCTACCCCCATTATTCCATTCCATTCAGTTCCATTCTATTTTTCTACTTCTATTCAAATTCCTACTAATTTTGTTCACTCTATTCAATTTATACTTGATTCCTCTTCTACTCTATTCTGCTACTATTCTACTCTATTCTACTCTATTCTATTTCTATTATACTTCCACTATTCTGTTCCATTCCATTCTGTTCTACTTCTCCACTTCTACCTACAACTTTTGCTATTCTATTTGTTACACTTCATTCTATTTATTTTATTTCTATTCTGTCCTACTAATATTTCCATCCTATCCTATCCTATCCTAGTTTTGTTTCACTTCCACTCCACTCCACTCCATCCGTCCCATCCCCATCCCCATCCCATCCCCATCCCATCCCATCTCCAACCCCATACCCACCCCATCCCCATCCCATCCCATCCCATCCCACCCCATCCCCATCCCATCCCATCCCATCCCATCCCATCCCCATTCCCATCCCCATTCCCATCCCATCCCATCCCATCCCCATTCCCATCCCATCCCATCCCATCCCATCCCATCCCCATTCCCATCCCATCCCATCCCCATTCCCATCCCATCCCATCCCCATCCCATCCCATCCCATCCCATCCCATCCCATCCCATCCCATCCCATCCCATCCCGTTGCCGGCAGTGCCGGGATTCGAACCCTCGCCTCCCTGCCCTTGCAGTTCCTTACGGTGGCCACCAGGTGGCGCCATTGCACCGCGCCGCCCTGAGGTGGGAGGGCACGGCGGGGGGAGGGTTTGGGGGGGGCACACAGCAATATTTCTTTTAACCCCCAAAAAGCCGCAGCCGGGCTTCAAACATTTGCCCACCCGCCCTCGAGCCCCCAGCACCTCTCAGGGACAAGGACCTGCCAGCATAGGGGAGAACCCCCCCTACCAAAATACAACCCCACCTCCCTCCCCCCCCCCCATCCCCCTCAACTCCCCCTCCAACTCCTCACCGCTGTGTTGGGGCCTGAGCCGGCGGGGCTCTCAGGGCAGTGCGGGGGTTCAAGGCTGGGAGACGGCTGCAGTGTGCTGGGGGGAGGGGGTGGAAAGCTGTGGGGCACGGAGGTGGGGGGGTTCACCCTGTGCTCTGGGGATGGAGGGGGACACCGGGATCTGTGGGGAGAGGGCGCCCCGTCCCTGACCCCAACCCTTCTCCCACTGTTATCCCCACCAAACACCCCCCAGAGCGACCCCGGGAGCCCCGAGCAAAGATCCCCAGCAGCCACATGGCCTCGCTGTGCCCCCCGCCCCCCCTTCCCAAGCTCCTATCCGTGCCGTCTCTCCTTCACCCACTCTTTGTTGTTTCTTGCGAGAAGGAAAAAAAAAAAAAAAAAAGAGAGAAGCCAAACCCCAAACCAGGAGGCAGGAGCCTGTTTTGCCTCCCAGGCAATATTTCTGGAGCCAATCGGAATGCGCACCCACCCTGCCCCGCTCCCTAATTAAAGGCTTTGGAGCAGGGCCGCCCGCAGCTCTGGGCACACACTCACGGGTCGCCTCTCGGCAGGAGCAGATCGGGGTACGTTGTGGGTAGAGGGGGGTCCCGGGCGGGCTGCAGCCCCCCGAGCTGCAGCGATGAGCGGCTCCTTCGACAAGAAACTCTCCAGCATCCTCACCGACCTGTCGGGCTCGCTGAGCTGCCATGCCTCCTCCAAGGACTCCCCGACGCTTCCCGAGTCCTCCGTCACCGACCTGGGCTACTACAGCGGCCAGCACGACTTCTACCCCGGCCAATCCTACGGGCAGCCCGTCGCCCATTACCCCTACCCCCAATTCAACCTCAACTCCATCGGCGCCGGCGGAACCTATTCCCCCAAATCTGACTATTCCTACAGCCCGTCCTACCGGCAGTACGGCCACTTCAGGGACCAGCAGCTCCCGGCGCAGGATGCAGGTATGGGGTCTTGGGCTGGGAGCTCTGCTGGTTCTCCGTTGGGAGAGCGGATGGGAGAAGCTGTGACCCCCCCCAGATGGGCGGCAGAAGTTGGGGATGGAGGTTGGGGGCTGGTGGGATCCCGATGAATCGTCATAGGGAACGTGGTAGGGATGGCAGCTGGCTGTCGTGGGGATCCCCATGTACTGCTGTAGGCTTCCCAACTTCTTGTTGTAGGGATCCCAGTATATTTTTGTAGGGAATCCCAATGTATCGCTGTAGGGATCGTCGTAGAGATCCCAACCTGTTGTTGTAGGGCTGCCAGTGTGTTGTGGTAGTGATCCCGATGTTTTTTGGTAGTGATCCCGATGTTTTTTGGTAGTGATCCCGATGTTTTTTGGTAGTGATCCCAACACGTTTTTGTAGCAATCCCCACCTATTTCCATAGGGATCCCGATGTATTTCCATTGAGATCCCAATACATTCTCATATGGATCCCAATGTGTTTTTGTAGTGACCCCCAAATATTTTTATACAGATCCCAATGCATTTCCATAGGGAATCCCAATATATTGCTACAGGAATCTCAATGTATCACCATAGGGATCCCAATGTATTTTCGTAGCAAACCCCAACGTGTTTCCACAGGGATCCCGATGTATTGCTCCCCAATAAGGGTTTAGGGCTGGGTCTGCCCTGCTTTGCTGCCACGCAGTGGGGTGACCCGGCTTGCTGTGGGGTGGGGGCTGCACGGGGACCCTTTGCCAGCCCCATCCTCACCCTGCTGCTCTGCATGCAGTGTCGGTGAAGGAGGAGCCGGAGCCCGAGGTGCGGATGGTCAACGGGAAACCCAAGAAGATCCGCAAACCCCGCACCATCTACTCCAGTTACCAACTGGCGGCCCTGCAGCGCCGCTTCCAGAAAGCCCAATACCTGGCCCTGCCCGAGCGCGCCGAGCTGGCGGCCCAGCTGGGGCTCACCCAGACCCAGGTAGGGCTGAGCCCCCTCCCCGATCCCACCTGGGGGGGCGGTGGGGTTGGGGTCAGGGCCGGATCCCACCTTGTGAGCCCCGAATCCGTGCGGGGTCGGCGCGGCTCGGTGTCCTTTGGGTGGGAGCTGGGAGCGTTCGGGAGACCCCTGGATGTGGGGAGCCCTGGGGTGGGCGATCCACACTTGTAGGGTGCAGGGAGCCCCGGGTTTCGCCGTGCAGAGCTGATGCACAGCGCTGAGGGAGGGGACAGAGTGTTCCCCTGGGGACGAGGGGCTTTACCCCCTCCCTGTCAGCACCCGCATGGACAGATCGCTGGGGGTGGGCTCTCAGGACTCCCCCATCCCAGCTCCGTCGCCCCCCGCCCCACTCCCCCTGAGTGGGCTTCCCATTCCCAGAAATAGGCATTTGGAACGCCTGCGAACTTGTCGGTGCGCTGCCACGTCAGGTCGAGCTCCATAAAGAACGGGTTTCTCTTTCCCCACGCTTCCAGATCTTCCTCCCAGCTTTGGGACCAAAAGCTTCGCTTTCGGGGCTTTCCGGCCATGGGGACAAACCCGACCTGGCTGGCGTGACAGCCACCCCACAACCCACCCCATCCCATCCCCGTGCCCTCCCTGCCTGCAGGCCGGCGCCGGCGCCCTTGTGCCGCCCTTGGCGGACGCTCCCCAAACTCAACCTTCCTCCTCCTCCCTTGGGCGATGAAGCAATCGGGGACAACTCGGCAAAGGGCTGACGGAGCGCGTCACCCAGAGGGACATCCTGTTTGGGTGACACCGCCACTCCCCGCACCCCGTCCCCAAAGGCTCACAGCCTCACCCAACGCTGGGACGCTCCCGACGTGCCGGGCCGGTGTCCCGTGATGCCTGGTGCGATGGCTTCACGCAACACCCACGGCTCAGAGGCGCTGCACGCCAAGCGTCCAGGGACCCCGTGGCACCCACAGCGTTGGTGACATTCAGTGCTGTCCCCACAGCGGCCCTGTGACGCCCTTAACGTGGGCTCTCGGTGCACGGCGTGTTGCGTCTCTCCAAAAGAGCCGCCTGACGGCTGCCTTGCCGTGCTGGCTGTCCGTGGTTCCCCTCTCAGTGTTGGCTTCCCACGGTTCGTGGTGTCTTTGGGGTCCCTGCAACAGCGACTCTGTAAATCGCTTCCCCTACAGCGCACGGCCCCTTTGGGGTGTCCAAAATGCAGTTATCAGCACCGTGCTGTGCCTGGGGTCCCCGTGGCACCCGCATCACAGGCGGCTTCCATCGGTGCGTCCCCGTGGTGTCTGCAGGGTCCCTGTGGCACTCACATCAAGTGGCTTCCCATGGGGTCCCCATGGCACCCAGATCATGGGAAGCCACCCACTGGGCCTGGGGACCCCCAGTTATTCCCGTGTCATGGGTGGCTTCCTACAGCACGTGGCACATCTGGGATCCACATCACGGGTGGCTTCCCATGGCTCTGGGGTCCCCATGACACCCATATTGTAAGTGCCTCCCAGTGCTGCGTGCCGGGTTCCCACAACCCCACACCACCATTCCCTTCCTACGTTCCCTGGACCCCCACATCCCACCGTCCCCCCCCTCCATTGCCATCCACCATCCTCTCACCCTGTCCCTCCCCCTCCAGGTGAAGATCTGGTTCCAGAACCGCCGCTCCAAGTTCAAGAAGCTCTACAAGAACGGCGAGGTGCCATTGGAGCACAGCCCCAACAACAGCGATTCCATGGCCTGCAATTCCCCCCCATCGCCCGCCGTCTGGGACAGTGCCTCGCACGGCAGCGCGCCGGGACGGACCCCCCTGCCACAGCCGTTGCCCTACAGCCCCTCGCCCGCCTTCCTGGAGGAGCACAGCCCCTGGTACCACCCGCAGAGCCTCGCTGCCCCCCACCAGCCCCCCACCACCATGCACCACACCTCGCCGGGGCCGCCCCCCAACCCGGGCGCCGTCTATTAACCGCGTTGGGCAGAGACAGTGCAGAACTCCTTCTTTTCCCTTTTTCTTTTCCCCACCGCCTCCCCCCTCCCCCCTCCCCCTCCCCTCGATTATTATTATTATTATTTTTTAAAGTGTTCCAGGACACTCGTGTACACACACACCCCTATGTATCTACTTCTATATCCTCTCCTCTCCCGGCTCATCTCAGGAACAACAGGGACTGCAAAGGGTTGAACTCGTGAGCTCTGCGCCCAGGGGACACCGCCGCCGCCCCCCAACAACTGCATTCCCCCCCCCTCCGACCCACAGGAGAGACATTTGGGTGACCGTCACCCCACCTCGGGGTCCCCGTGGAGCTTGTGGGGCGCCGTGTGGGATGGAGACATGAGGACCAAAGCAAGGTGCCACCCCCACCTGGAGCAGGGGGCACCCCGCACCCTTACGGCACCCAAAATCCAGCGCCGTGCAGGGACCAAGAGCTGTGGACTATGGGTGCTCCATGGGGTGTGGGTGCACCGCAGGGCTGTGGGTGTTCTATGGGGCCATGGGTTCTCCATGGGGATGTGGGTTCTCCGTGTGGCCATGCGTCCTCCATAGGTTTTCCATGGTGCAATGGGTTCTTCATGAGGCTGCAGGTGCTCTATGGGGTCTCCATGGGGGGCCGTGGGGTCTCCATGGGGTCGTGGCTTCTCCATGGGGCTGTGGGTTCTCCATGGGACCATGGGTTCTCCATGGGGCTGTGAGTTGTCCATGTAGCTGTGGGTACTCTATGGGGCCATGGGTTCTCCATGGTTTCTCCATGGGGCCGTGGGTTCTCTGTGGGGCTGTGAGTTGTTGGTGGAGCTGTGGGTTCTCCATGGGGCCGTGGGTTCTCCATGGGGCCGTGGGTTCTCCACAGGGCCATGGGAGCTCTGTGGGGCTGTGAATGTTCCATAGGGCTTTGGATGATCCATGGGGCCAAAGGCGGCTTCGCAGGACCCCGACCTTGGGGACGGCGCTCAGACGACGAGGCGGTTATTTAACAATTAAAAATATAACTAAAAAAAAAAAAAAAAAAAATTAAAAAAAAAGGGGAAAAAAGGGGTGGGGGAGAAAAAGTATTTTAATATTTAAACAGTTTGGGAACGGCTTAAGTTATTTTTTTTTTGAGAGAAAAGTGGTGCAAAGCGTCTGTTTTCTCCGAGTGCCTCCAACGCTGTCCTTTAAGCTAACAGGGAAGAGGAAGGCGTTTTTTAAGTGAACCTCCACGCATTTAACACGAAAACAAACCAAAAAAGCCCCCCCAACCCCCCCCCCCCCAAAAAAAAAAGAAACAAACAAAAAAAAACTTTACTATTTTTTAAGAGAGCGACGCTATTTTTTTAGGAAGAAGTGCCGTTTTAAAGATGTGTCCCTCTGCGTTGTACAGCCCCCAGGACCTTATTTATGTTGCCTTATATATATATAGAGGGGGGTGCGGGGGGGTGGGGGGGTCAGAGTGTACATAAGGTTCGTTTGTATAAAGCTGATGAAACCCAAAGCGCTCCGTTCTGCTGTGTGCTTTCCTGCTCTGTGGGTTCGGGGTCTCCTGCTGCTTTTTGGGGTGTTGGGGGGGGGGGGGGGGGTGGGGGTGCTTGGAATAAAAGTGCTTTGAGTTTTACTTGAGGGCGTCCCACCGATGTGTTTGGGGGCGGTGGGCAGGGGTTGCCCCATTTGTCAGAGGGGGGTTTTTGGGGGGAGGGGGGGTGTTGGGGGTTGAATTGCTGCGCACTGAGAGCGTTCTGACCCTGGCTGTTCCCAATTCTGCTTTGGGGAACCCAAACGCACCCTGGGACCTTTCACATTATGGGGTCCCCCCCCCCCCAGCGCTCCCCACACGACCCCCATCCACACCCAACGTCCCTCTGCCCATGGGTCGCTGCTGCCCACACTCAATATGGGGCCAATGGGGACACCCCAAATATGCCCATACCCCCAACTCGGGTCGCTGCTGCCCCTACTCAACGTGGGGCCAATAGGGACACCCTAAATATGCCCGTATGCCCCCCCTCCCCAACCCCAAATCCATCCCCAAACAGCACCCCGATGGCTGCAAAGGGTTAAGGGGAGCTGCCAGCCCCCGGCCCTCAGTGCTTGGGGTTGGGGTTGGGTTTGGGGTTGGGTTTGGGGTTGGGTTGGGGCTGTGTGCGCATCGCAGCGGGCAGACATGCTGGAGACACGGAGCTGCATTGAGGGGAGAGGGGGGGGAGGTTGGGGGGAAGGGAGCAGCGTGCTGCGAGCTGCTGGTGCTTTGGGGTGGTTGGTGTCGTGTTGTTGTTTGGTGTTTTAATTTAGAAGAAAAGGAAAAGAAAGAAAGAAAGGAAGAGGAAAGATGACATCTCTGTAGGTTATCAAAATGATGGGTGCAGCCCTGCCCAGAGCTGAGCCCCACTCCCCGGTCTGGGGGTGCACACAGAGATGCTGTCCTGCTGTGGTCCCTCCTGCCCCACTGCTCCATTCCTGAAGGATCCCTGTGGGGCTGGGGGTGGGGGGGGAATCTGTGGCAACAGCAGGTGGTGCCTCCTGGCTGCTTTCCCCACCTGCAGCATCACCAGCGCAGGGCCTGGAAGTGCCCAAGATCCCCAGGAAGGACCTGGAGAACCCTTCCCCATTCCTCCCTTCTTCCATCTTCCCTCAAGTGGGACCAACCAGCACGGGGGGGGGGGGGGAGCAGCCCATTGCCCCATACCCCCCCCCATCACCCATCACTCAGCCTGCAAATAAAACAACCCCCCTTCCTCGCTATACAGACAGACCCAAACGTCCTCCACCACCACAGCATGGCACCAAGATGGGGACGTGGCACGACCCCAACCCCACAGAACGGGCACAGGTGGGCTGGGGGCACAACTCCCAGGCCCCACAGATGCAAGCTGTCGTGCACCCATTGATGTCCCTACACAAACCCCAGCGTGCAGCCCCCCAAACTCCCCCCCCCCCCCCCCAGCTCTCCCTGCCCCATTGCAACACACTGCTGTGTTGCATCACCCGCTGCCCCCACCCAGCACAGTGCTGGCTCTGGGCTGAGCCACGCGTGGCAGCGGTGTGGGATGGAGTTGGCATTGGCCATCGAGGTGCTGTGTTGGGTTATGGGGTGGAAGGGGACGCGTCGGCTCACTGTGATGGAGATGGGAAGGGGACACAGCGCACGGTGCCCAAAGCTGCTCTGGCGCCGTACAGAGAGCCAGTGGTGGTGGAGGGAGGGGGGGGCACCAACAAATCCAGGGGAAGGACATGCAGAGGGGATTTCCTCCCCCTCTTTGGGTTAATCCTGAGTGCAGCAGGCTGTCTGAGGGCTCCCAGCCCCATAGAGGATGCTCCTGACCCACTGAGAGGAGTGCAGAGCAGCTGCAGCAATGCTGGAGGCGCTGCCCTTCTCCCAGCACACAGCATGAAATGGGTTCCTGCGCAGCAGAAAGGGCAGCAGAGCCCCCAGCCTTCCTCTTCCTCCGGGGTGCAAAGCCCCATTTCCTTTCTTTGCAGCCCCACGACCTGAGCAGAACGTTTTACACCAAAGGAAACACGTCTGCAGGCAGGTGGGGACACCCAGAGCGTGGCACTGTGATGGATGCACTGCAGCCACACATCGCCGCTGCGTCCCACCCCACCTGCATGCAATACATGCAGGGATGCAGCTGCAATCCTGCAGCCCAAGGTGGGGATTGGGGAAAGCAAGGAACAGCCATAAGGTGTTTTCTAGCCTCTGGGAAGGAAAGGGAGAGGTTCCTCACTGGGAAACCTGCAGCTGAAGAACGTCCCCTGCTCCCCATACGCCCTCACTGCTGGGGCCAGGGGTCCCCAACCCCCCTCCTCCCATCCCTATTAAGGAAGACAGCTTCAATAGCTGCAAATTGCCCATAATTACCCCAAGGAGGTGGCGAGAAGCCCCTCACCGAGGAGCCTGGCTCCACAATTACGGTAATTGTGCCTCCATTTGGGAGCAGTGGGTCTGAAAATAGTGGCAGGTCTGAAAATAGTTGGGGGTCCCGCACAGATGTTAGGCTGGGGGGGGGTCTGGGGGTCCCTGGCCCCTGTTTGGGTGCCCCCACCTCACAGGAGCATTCTCCCCAGGCCACGGAGACCCTCAGCACATGGCAGCAGGTCGAGGAGCAGTCTTTACTTTACAATTGTACAGCCTGTTTATAACAGGGGGCACAGAGGTTCACAGATGGCGCTTATAAATAAAGCCAGGTCCTGGAGCAGGGGGTCCGGGGACCCCTCCAGCCCCTCTGTGCCCATGGACCTTGGGGCTGCAGCTTGGCCAAGTCCTGTCCCGCCCGTACCAGGGCTCTGTGCCGGGGACATCTCACTTCAGCCCACAGTGGGGGTCCCTGCAGACAGGGGTCGCCTTCCTCCTCCTCTTCTTCATCCTCCATTTGCTGGGGTCCCCCATAGCATCGCCCATCAGGGCTCGGAGGCACGTCCCCCCCTCGCTGGCCCTCCCGGATCCGCTGGGTGCTGCAGCCGTAGTGGTGTCACATCATGGGACCACGGGGCACGGAGTCCTGAGGGTGAGGCTGATACCAGGCTCCAAAGCTGCTGATGTAGTTGCTGGGGGGCAGTGGGGGCCCTTTGCCTGGCACAGGGATGTCCCAGAGCGGGGGGATGCTGGGGGAGCAGGGGGACAGCGAGGAGGAGGTGTGCAGGTGCTGCTCCCCATCGGGTGCGCTCGAGCCCTGCTTCATGATCTTCTTGTACTTGGAGCGCTTGTTCTGGAACCAGATTTTGACCTGTGGGTGAGAGTGGGGTGAGCAGGGATGTGGGGAGGGTGGCACCGGTGAGCAACGTCCCACCCCTCAGGTACCACGACTTTGCAGCTGTTTCATCCCCCACCTTAGGAGTACACCTGTGTGGGGGTCCACGAGATGAACCCAACCCTGTGCGAGCCACTAGAGAATCCACCACGAGGAGCTGGAGGAGACGACGATACGGGAAACAGGGAGAGCAGAGAGCAACTCGAGAGCCTCCAGCCCCGTGCGTCCCCACGTGTGCCCCCAGCTGTGCCCCCCTCCAGCCCAACCCGGGCGCAGGAGCACTGCTGGGGCGCGGCGCGGTGGGGCCCGCAGCGCTCTGCTCGGGGTGGTGGCCCCACTCATTCCTCCCCACGGTCCCCCCCGCGCTGTCGGCAGGTTCCCACTTGCCTCCTCTTCCCCGTCTTTATGAGCTCGCTTCGCCCCTGGCTCCGGGCTGCACCGCTGCCGCCTGCCTGTCTCTCCCCATCGCCTTCAAAAACCCACTCACCCCATCCCGCGGCGCGGGGCCGCCCAACGCCGGGCACGGCTGGGCCAGCAGCCAGGCTCCAGGGCTGGGAAAGTCCCTCTGCCTCTGGGAGGTGCGAGCAGGGGCACCCCAAATCCCACCCGCAGGGCCCCAGCGGCGCCGGCTGCACGGCACGGCTCCAAGGCGCCCCGATCCGGACTCGATCCGTGCGTGCGCCACAAACGTCCCCCGGGGAGGCGCTGGGTGTCGGGGTCGGGGGGCTCAGCCCTACCTGGGTCTGGGTGAGCCCCAGCTGGGCCGCCAGCTCGGCGCGCTCGGGCAGCGCCAGGTATTGGGTCTGCTGGAAGCGTTGGTTGAGGGCCTGCAGCTGCAGGCTGGAGTAGATGGTGCGTGGTTTGCGCAGCTTCTTCCCCTTGCCGTTGAGGCGCAGCTCGCCGTTGGCCACTGGCGGAGGCTTGTTGGGTTCTTGGGGAGGGAGAGGAGAGGAGAGTCAGTGGGGACAGGAGGGGAACCACAGCGCTGTGGATGTGCTGTGCCTGGGGGGCTGTGCTGTCAATGGGGGCTGCGCTGTCCCTGGGGACATTGGGGACTGCAATGGCACTGGGGGCTGCCCTGCCCCGTCCCTGGGGGCTGCGTTGCTCCTTGGGGCCGTTCTGTTAACAGGGGCTGTGTTGGCACTGCTGAGCCCCACCACCGGGGCTGCGCTGCCCCTATGGGTGCCCCATCAGTGGGGCTGCGCTGTGGAGGTTGCTTTGCACAGGGATCTGCCTCTGCTTCACCGTTTCATTCAGAAAAAAAGTGAATGAGGTGGAGGGATGGCGCCATTCATTCAGTACTGCTCGACCCCCACAGTAGGAAGGTGACAGCCCCGTGGCATGCATGCTGTGAGGGGTGGGTGGGGGGACAGGGCCCTGCCAGGCGATGGGGGGTGGCTGAGACCCCCATCTCCCAGGCAGCCCTGCTCTTTGGGTTCTGTGTCACCTCCGAGCCCGGTGGTGGCTCTGAGTATCTGCGGGTCTTTTGGGGACATGGGTAGACGGCGGTGACAGCACAGCCTCTGCTCTCAGAGAGACGCTGGAAATCAGGAGCGTGTGCAGCCCCGCACCCCCCACCCCGCTGCCTTGGGAAAGGGCTCAGCGGAGCGTGGGACCCCTCTGCTGGGAGCCCTGGGGGGAGAAGGGGAGCTGGAGAGGTGGCGGTTTGCTTTCAGCTTTGGGGGAAAACAGACGGCAATTGGGATGCGCGCGGCAGGACCGAGGGGAGGAGCTGCGGGATCGGGACAGCCGGGGCTCTGCAGCCCTCCGGGGGCTTCCCGCAGCCTCGCACCCACCCACCGCCGTGTCTTCCCTCCCTTAGGACTCCCCCCCAGCGGAGGTCCGAGCCCCCCGCTCGCTCGCGCTGCCCACGGGCCGCCCCGAAGCGCTTCCGACGGTTGCGGGGCGGGGAGCGGCAGCGCCGCGGTGCCTCGACGGGGCGGGACGGGACAGAGAATGGGAACGGGGATGGGAACCGGGATCGGGACCGGAACCCCCCGCGGCCGCCTTACCTGCGTCCTGCAGCCCGGCGCCGTGGGCCAGCCCGGCCGGGGGATGCTGGGGCGGGTAGGGCAGGTAGGGGCCGCCGTGGGGCGGGGGGGGAGGACCGCCGGAGTAAGGATAGGAACCGGGCCGGCTGTAGGAGGAGAAGGGCGACGGGTCGTGCTGGGGGTGGCCGGCGGGGTGGAGGCCGTGCAGCGGGTAATGCGGAGGAGAGGGGTGGCCGAGCTCCAGGAAAGAAGTTTTGGATGGGTCGGAGCCCAATAAGCTCTCGGTGACGGAGCTCATGGTCATGGCCGGGCCGAACCGGACCGGGCCGGGCCGGACCGCCCTCGGAGCCCGCAGCGCCGCGCCCCGCAGCCCCCCCCGCCGGGCTCCGCGCTGCCGCACCGCGGCCCCGCGCCCGGGGGATCCCCTGCCCGCCCCGCCCCGCCCCCTGAGCCCCGCCCAGAGACGTCGCTCCCACCCCCCCACTCTCCGGGGCAGCCCCCTGGATGCCCTCCCCTCGGGGGTCTCCCCTCTGTGCCTCTCTCCCGACGCGGGGTCTCCCTGGCCGGCTGTGGCCAGGAGGGGAGATGGGAGGGGGACACCGCGACGTCCCCCTGCGTCCCGGACCTCCCCTGAGGGAGGGTCTTGTCCTCAGTGCTGGGCGCTGCTTTGCGCGGGGACCCGGTCCTTAGAGGGGACAAAAAGCGAATGGCAGCGCGTGAAGGGAAGCGACCCCTTGCACCTGGGCACGGAGGGACAAAAAGCACCGGGGTCACCGGTGTGGGGGCACAACAGGGATGGGAGAAAGCGCAGAGGTGGACAGAGGTTGGACGGACACGGACAGAGGGTTGGACACGAGACCTCATGCCTCGGTGCCTGCTGGCTGCAGGGGGACAACCTGCTGCACCTCTGCGGTTTGGGGACATGGTGGCACAGAGCCGGGTGGCTCACATCAGCGCCGCCCCACGAGGGCTTTGCCTGGGAGGAGGTGGCATTGGCTGGGGATGCTGGCAGGGAGGGTCCCCCATCCCCACCCTCCCATTAGACCATCTCCAAAACATGTTTCCATCTCGCCATCGCGACGGCTCTGAGTCACTCGGCAGCTCCGATATAAATAGCTGAGCTGCTCACTAACCCCCAGGCTGGGACCCCGCTGCTGCCCCGGGCTCTGAACCAAACAGCTCCTGCCCCCGTCCCATTCCCCGTTGGTCTTCTGCCATCCGCCTCCATCCTGACCTCAGGATCGTGCCCAGCACAGCTGGACCCATAGAACAGCCCCATTGGCAGGGGTTCTGGGCTCCCTATATGGAGCGTGGACCTGGGTCCAGTGCCCAGGGGAGAGGTGGGATCGGGCCCATACTTGAGCCCTCAGGGTGGGTGCTTTGGGTGGGTGGGTGCTCCAAAGGATGAGGGCTCCCATAGGCCATGCCCACCTCTCTGCTCGGATATTTTAAGGATAGGTTGGGCAGAGGGGACCTTGGTGGCATTTTTCACCCCTTGGGGGACAAGAAGAGCCTCACATTCCATCACCTGGCATGGCTGCACCCTTGTCAAGATGCTGGCATCCCTGTGCACGTTTATACGGCTTAGGATGGAAGGAGAGCCAAGTTCCCCCTTGGGCAAGGATGCCAAACAGGGGGTCTGGTCCCACTGCATCCAATGGAGAACAGATGGGTCCCCCCAGGTGGGGGTCTCCCATTGGGCAGCACCAAAGGCAAGCGGGTTTGAGGCCACCCTCTCCTCCCCAGCAGAACCTGGCCTCGCACAAACAAGATTTGGGGTCGGGCACCCACAGCTGTGCAGTGGAGCATCCCCAAACCCTGCAGTCTGTCTGTCCATCCAGAGCGGGCTCACGGACAGCTCTCCGCTCCACTTTCCCTCGCTTGGTTCCTTACCGGCCCCAACCCCTTGGGGGCGGAGACCAATGTCCCCAGAGCCCCACAGCCCCCATGGCTCCGACACCTGCAGGGGGCACACGGGGCAGCCTCGAACCCCGGCACTGGGGCTGCGAGGCGCAGCTCGCATTGCCTGAGCGGGGTTTGGGGTTTTAAGAGAACCCGGTGCCAAGGCAAATACATCAAATCATCTCAGATTAAATTAAAAAAATAAATCACAGCCGCGCTCGGGGCCAATTCCAAACCTCGGTGTCGGGGTTGGGAAGCGCTGATACACGTCAGGACCCGAGCGGTGCTGGGGAGCACAGAGACGTCCCCGCGTGGTCCCACTGCTCTGTGAGCGGCTCTGCTGTCCCCCGGGATGGGGAATATTGCAAAAATCCTCCCCCCCCCTCCCTCCCCATCCTCAGAATATCCTGCAAAGGAGAAGAGCGGAGTTCGGGTTTGTAGCTGCCGGCTGCTGATGAAAGCAGGAAGGATTAAAGGGGTGCAGGGAGGGAGGAGCGCGAGGAGGGGGGGGGAAAGGAGGGAGGGGGGGGGGGGTTGGAAAGGAGGGAGGGAGGGAAGAGCATGTGCCAGGTAACAAACCTCTGAGATCGCCCGAGATAAAGGGAGATCCCAGCAGCTGTAATTACGGCGCTGCAGATGGAGCGGCGCGGGGAAAGCCCGAAGCCAAGCGCAGGAGCTGCGGGTGAGCGGCAGCCCGGGGAGAAGTTAATAACACCCCGAACCGAGTGGGAGCAGACAGCCTGGCGTCTGCCCTCCCACACGCCATGCTGCCCTGCCGCCGCGCTAACGAACGCAGCGCTAATGAACCTCCGGCCCTGAGCCCTCCGAAGGCATTGCTGGGATGATCCCGGCTTGGCCCGGGCCTTTCTTTGGGTGGTTTTGGTGTGGTTTGGTTTGGTTTGGTTTTTTGTTGGGGGGAGAGGGGGGGAAAGGGGAGGAATGAGGGGATGCAGTAGGAAGGAGATGGGGATGGGGAGGTGTTTGGGGGTCGTTGGGGAGGATTGGGGAGGGAGGGGATATGGTGGGATTTATGGGGGGGATGCGCAGTGGTGGGGTGTCACACTTGGCTGGGACACAGGGACAGGGTGACATGGGGACACGGGGACATGGGGACAGGATGACACAAGGGCGGGGTGACACAGGGACATGAGGACATGGGGACATGGGGACACAAGGGCACAGGCATACAGGGACATGAGAACACAAGGACGTGGGGACATGGCAACATGGGGACACTGAGACATGGGAGCATGCGGTCAGGGTGACACAGGAACATGGGGACACGTGGAAACACGGGGACAGGGAGACACAGGGACATGAGGATACAGGGACATGGGAAGGCGGATGTCTGCATTCAGCGCATTCCCCTTTTTACAGAAGCCTGTGGTGGATTTGGAGGCTTGGTGACAGAGTGGTGCTCAGGAGGGGCTCGTCCTCCCCCACCTACCCCCACCTCCAGTCTATCTCTGGATAAAGGAGACCCAGCGCCGTTAACGAAGCACCTGAGATTAATTAGGGGGTCGTGTCTCGCCACGCACACAGCAGTGTCACACACACACGAGCATCACACACACCCCAGTGGGACGTGTGGGTTTGGAGAGGCACTGGGGACGTTCTGGTGGGTGACCTCGTATCCTTCCTAATTAACAGAGAGAAAATGAGCGGCGATGGGAATGTTCATGGCTGTTTCTTGGGGTCGGAGCCAACGGCGGGTGAGGGGCTGCCCCCCTAATTGTGCCCGCAGCACGCAGAGCCCACGGCATTCATTGGTGGAATGATGCTGAACAGTGCTCAGCTCAGCCCGGGCTCCAAGGGAAGGACGTACAGCACTGGGATGCAACCTGACAGTGAGCATCAGGCGTCACCTCAGGCGTGTGGGATGCTCTGCTGGGGATGGCTGCTGCCGTGTCATCATCCTGCTGCTCAGGACCAGCCCAGCATCACGGTCCTCATGCAGGACATGGGTCTGACAGCATCTCCCTGGGGGCTGGAGGTAGAGCTGCTGCCTTGGGGTTGGGGACACTGCTGAGCCAGACGGGGTGGTGTCACCCGCGTGTCCCCACGCCACTGGCAGCCTTGCAGGTGGTCATTAGTGGAGCTGACAGTCCCCACGGCACACTTGGAGTATTTACATCGCTGGGGAGCTGAGCTCCGGAGAGAGGCACGAGGAGAAAAAAAAAATGGTGACAGTAAATGTATAATTAAAGTCCCATTAAGAGGCGCCTATGAGTCTCTGAGGGAGCAGGGTAGACGGGATCGCTGCCACCCCGATGGCTTTCAGGTGCAAAAGTGTCCCCAGGAACAGCCGGGGGGGGGAGTTCCCCTGGGGAATGTGGCACTGCCAGGGTCTCTGTGATGCTGTGTGCTCCCAAGCTGGGCTCTGGTGTGGGAGGACTGTTCCATCCCATCCCACTGCATCCCATCCCATTTCCATCCCATCCCATCTCCATTCCATCCCACTGCATCCCATCCCATTTCCATCCCATCCCATCTCCATCCCATCCCATCCCATCCCATTCCATCCCACCCCATTCCATCCCATCCCATCCCATTCCATCCCACCCCATTCCATCCCATCCCATCCCATCCCATCCCATCCCATCCCATCCCATCCCATCCCATCCCATCCCATCCCATCCCATCCCATCCCATCCCATCTCCACCCCATCCCGTCCCATCCCATCCCATCCCATCCCATCCCATCCCATCCCATCCCATCTCCATCCCATCCCATCCCATCCCATCCCATCCCATCTCCATCCCATCCCATCCCATCCCGTCTCCACCCCATCCCATCCCATCCCATCCCATCCCATCCCATCCCATCCCATCCCATCCCATCCCCCTCCCTATCCCCATCCTCATCCCCATCCCTGTCCCCATCCCCATTCCCATCCTAAGCCAATCCCGTTCCCATCCCATCCCACCCCACCCCCACCCCCCATCCTATGCCATCCCATTTTATACCATTCCCATCCTGTCCCACTTCCATTCCCATCCTCTTCCATCCCCATCCCCAGGCTTTGATCCGGCTCAGCAATCCAGGAGGATTATTTCCTCCCCCACTGGAGGTGTCCCCATTCTGGAGGTGACACACAACATTCCCCTGCCCTCAGCTGTGCTGGCGTTGCCCCATAAACCAACTTAACCCTAATCCAAAGGTGGGAGCATACAGTTTGAAGGCAGTCCTGGTGGGAAACCCCACTGCTTTCCCCCACAGTGCTCACACCACCCTCCCATCCCGAGCCGCCCCAGCTCTTTGCATCACCCCATTAGTTGTGCTTCACTGGACACTGAATGGGGACTGGAATTCCTTAATCCACCTGTGCCCCGCGGATGAGCTTTCCCAGCCTGAGCCCCGTAACCCAATCCCACCCTGCACAAAGCCGAGCATCGCCCCAC